GCCTCGGTGGTGACGCTCTTACCCCCCCGGGTGACTTTCCTCCCACCTTGCCTCAAAGCTCCTTTCCGTGGTCCATCATTTCCATCTCAACAGGCGGTGTTTTGTGGCCTCCCAGCCCCTAACTCCCATGCTGCGAGGCCTCGAACCACTGAGCCCTGGGCACGGACCTGCGCCTTCCAGAGATGCTCAGTGGAACTTGATGGACATCATAGTAGTAACACTTAAGAGTGCCCATATTTATCGACAACTCTTGAGGCTTCACGTTGCATGAGATGCCTGGCTTTGCACAGGTAACTTAACCCAAATCTCAGCTCTCATCGATTATGCAGAAAGATACTAGTATCTGCCCATTATGTTGGCCCTGAGCACGGGAATGAACACATAAAGTGCTTTGTCCAATTAAAGGATGAAGTCAGGCAATGGGCCTAGTGCCCTTATGCAGTTACAACATGGGCTTTGCCAGACTCCAGAGAACCCAGTATCTTGGAATTGCCCGCACTGTACTGAAAGGACAGTGTAAGGATGCCAGTCCACATACTAAATTAAGAAGTCATCACCCCTAACTCTCAGCAGAACTAGTAACAAGAAGAAGAATGCTCACAGGCTGTTGTTTTCAGAGGAGTCAACAAGTGCTTTAATCACCTTCCTCCAGGAACCTAGCAATGATCCTAGTAAAAATGGTTGATGGGAAGCCCAAGTAGAAGCCTACCGAGGTACAGTGTCAGCAGACAGAGATGAAGTCTACTCTTGAGAATAAAGGCAGAAGACTATACTTTCAGGGATCATTTCTATAGTTGGAGAATAAATGCAGAATCATTTGTAATGTCCTTCAAGATCCAGGACAGGAAGACAACAGGCTCCGCAGCAGTGAGGAATGCAGCTTAAAGAAAATCTTGGGTAAGGCTTTTAATTACACAGGTATTGATACATGCATGCGTTTACTGAGGGCCTACTAGGTGTCTGGGTTTCTTGTTAGATGGGAACTGTAACTATGTTTTTCTTATAAGAGGTGAAAGGAAATTCTTTTCATAACTGTTTCCCCTTTTAGAAAGGTTCTGACTGTCTCTGACTTAATCATGGTTCTGATTGTCTCTGACTTAATCATGGTTCTACTTAACGATATTTTCAATTTATGATGGGTTTTCAGATGTGACCCATTGTAAGTTAAAGAACATCTGTGTAGCACATTTGAAAGATATGTAAAAGTAGAAGGAACTCGGTAAGTTCTTATCCTTAAAATAATTACTCTTAGCATTTTGATGAGTCTGTCCATATTTTGCTGCATACAGTTTTTTACATTGCTTAAATAATTTGCACTCAGAAGGAAAAACACACCATCATACACATGTTATGCTTTTATAAACTTTCATAAATTACCTTTTTATGATAACATTTCCTATGATAAATAGCAAGATGTATAATTACTGAGTTGTATAGTAGTTGCATGTTTTTTTTTAAATTCTGTGAGACTGTGCTGTACCATTTTACATTTCCATTATCAATATATGAGTGATCCAGTTTCTCCTGATCTTTTTCAGCACTTGATGTTGTTACTATTTTTCAGAAAAAATTTTAACCACTCTGACCAATGTGTGGTGATATCTCGTTGTGGTTTTAATTTACATTTCTTGAACCACGAGTGATGGTAAACATTTTTCACGTACTTGTTTTCCATCTGCATATCTTTTCTGGTAAAATTTCTCTTCAAGTCTTTTGCTCATATTCCAGTTGAATTGTTTGCTTTTTTTTTTTTAAACTGTTGTCAGAGCTCTTAGTATATTCTAGATACTAAACTGGTGTTGGATACATGATTTAAAGAGTTTCTTCCAGTCTGCAGCCTGTCTTTTCATGCTCTCAACTGAATCTTTTGCAGAGCAATAATTTTAAAGTTTGATGAAATTCATTTTATCAAAATTTCCTTTTATAGATTGTGCTTTTGTTGTCATATCTAGGACCTCTTTGCTTAGCTTTTAATTCTGAAGTGTTTCTCTCTTTTAAAAAAATTTTATAGTTTTATGTTTACATGTTTACATGCAAGTTTGTGATTCATTTTTAGTTAATTTTTGTATAAGGTGTGAGACTTAGGCAAAGAGTCCCTGTACCATGGATGTCCATTTACTCAACGCTATTGAAAGGCTGGGCTTACTCCGTTGAATTGTTTCTTGTACTTTTTCAAAAATTCATTGAAAATATTTGTGGAGGTCTATTTCTGGATTTTCTGATATGTCTCTGTGTATCTATCTATCTGTTAATACTACACAGCCTTGATTACTATAGCTGTGCAGTAAGTCTTAAAATTAGATGGACTGATTATTCCTGTTTTATTCTTCTTTTCCAAGATTGTTTTAGCTATTACAGTTCTTTTGTCTTTTCTATATAAATTGTAGAATATGCTCATGTACAAAAAAATATGCTGGGAGTTTGATAGTGACTTGTTAAACTTTGTATCAATTTGGGGCTAATTGATATCTTAATATGTTAAATCTTTCAACCCATGAACATGATTTAGCATTCCATTTATTTAAGTTTTCTTGTATTTCTTTCATTGACTTGGTGTAATTTTTCGCATACAAATCTTGTACGTGTTTCGTTAGATTTTTTCTTTTTTTTTAGTGATTGGAAATGACCTTGAATGTTAAATTTCTGTGTCTATGTACTCATAGGTAATATATAGAAATATAATAGATTTTTGTGTATATTTTGTATCCTTTGACTTCACTGAAATAACTTATCAGTTCTAGGAGTGTTTTTTGAGGTTCTCTGAGTTTTTTTAATGTAGACAATTATGTTCCACAGTTAGTAGAAGTTTTATTTCCTCTTTTCTGATCTCTATATTATTTGCTTATTTATTTATTTATTTTTGCATTATTGGATTAGCTACACTTCCCACCACTGTGTTAAATAAGAGTAATAAGAGCAGACATTCTTGCCTTTTTTGTTGATCTTAGGGGAAAATCATTGTCTTTCACAAGAAGTATGATATTAGCTATAGATTATTTGTGGATGCTCTTTATCAAATTGAAAAAATTTCTCTCTTATGCTATTTTTTGAGAGTTTTTGTCATAATAGATGTTGAATTTTACTAAATGGTTTTTCTGTATTGATTGATACAATCTTACAATTTTTCTTCAGTTACTTGTTAATAAAGTGGATTACTGATTTTCTAACATTGAATCATCTCTGGAAGAAAAGCTACTTAGCATATATAATCCTTCTGATATGTTGCTGAATTTTGTTTGTCAATATTCTGTTAAAGATATTTACATGTATATCATGAAGAATATTGGTCTGTAGTTTTCTTATTTCTGCACTGACTTTTTCTCGTTTTGGTGTCAGAGTCATACTTGATAAAATGAATTGGGAAGTAGTCTTCCTCAATTTTCTGGAAGAGAATTTGTGTTGCTCTTTAAACATTTGTTTGAATTTTCAAGTGCAACCATATATGGGTCTGGAAATTTCATTCTGGGAATTTTAAAATTAATAATTTATTTCCTTAATAGTGATAGCACTATTTTAAATGATCTATTCCATATTGTGTGAGTTGTGATAGCTTGTTTTTATTTTTTAAAAGAAATGTATTTTTTCACCTGTTTTCAAAGTTATTGCTGAGAAGTTTTTCAGAACATTCCTTTATTATTGTTTAAATATCTTTAGGATTTGTAGTGATGTCTCTTCTGTAATTCTTGATATTGGTAACTTATGCTTTCTTTTTCTT